AGGGGAATTGGTTTTCACTTTCCATGATTTCAACAAGAAGTTCCCCTTTTGAGACTTGAGGCCATAGCGACAACCATCGATCCGACAGTCCAGGGTGCCACCAATCTTGTCGAAGAAGTCCTGGATGATGCGCTCTTTCCAAGCTCTGCAGCGAAGGGGCCATTCCCAGAAGAACTGGACGTCGGGGTCGAAGTGGATAATGTCAAGGAGGAAGCGACATAGTTTCTTGAACATTTGGCGTTCTCCTCGACGACGTTTCTCCAAGGTCTCCCAACGGTCCTTGTAGTTGAGATCAACCCAATCACAGAACAACGTGCACATCGTGCTGACCCAGATCTTCCGTGGGCGTTGTTTCAAAAACAGCAGCCAAAGGTCGCTGTAGGTCTTCTCCTTGTAGAGGTCATAGCCGTTGTTCAGGTTGATCCTCTGGACTGGGATGCCTTCTCGGATGCAAGCTTCAGAAAGTGCGGAAGACTTTTGGCAGAACATCTCCCAGACGACGGGTTGTCCATCATAGATGGTTGTGGCCATGCATTCCCTCAGGTCGGTGTTCAGGTGGTGGATCATGTCCATGACTTTTTGGCCAACTGGAAGAGGAAGTTTATACCCTTCTCGCAAGTCCTCTTGAGACTCTGGTGTGTTCACTGGCTTTCGAAGTAGTGGGGTTCCATCTCTTCCTGCTCGTCCGGAATCGGAGTTGAGCTGGCTGCAGTCATACGTTGGTTGACCAGGTTCATCATGCGCTGGAGCTCCTCCGGGGTCAGGTAGTCCATGGGATTGAAGTTCATTTGCTGACCTTCGTCCACTTGGATCCAGCTTGCCTGGGACTGAGGAGTTTGCAGTTCCGGCTCCTCGGAATAGCCTTCTGAAGTACGAGTTGCTCGAGGGGCAGTCTTGGCCTTCGGCATGATCGTCTCGGCAATCCTCTCCGTGATGTAGGTTCGAACTGCCTTGTTCTTGGTCTCCTCGAGCTTGGTCTGAAAGTCGTCGACCATGGTCTTTAGGCGTTCTTGAGCGACCACCATTTCGATTGCGGCCTTGACCATGTCCTCCGTCGGCTTGAACTCCTCGGGAAGAAGGTCTTTCAACTCGTTCAGAGCCTTGGTCACATTCCCAGGATTTGCTGTTGCCGTGTGCGTCGCTGGAGATCCCACCTTGGGCACGTAGCTCAGGCGAAGTCCGCACACCCGGCAGTTGAACCATTGGCCGAACTTGTTGGACTGAGCATTTCCCGGCTCGTGATGAGCGTAGCAGGGCCAATTGGCTGCCTTGCTCCGTGGATCGCGAAGGTCCACAGTCATCCGGCGGTCCACATCCAACTTGGGCTCGGTCGCGGTCTTCTTGGGCGCCATGATGACAGGATGAGGTCGAATTGGAAGGGCGAAGACAGGAAGTCAGACTTCCCATGAGCCCAGTTCGCTGAGGCTGCAGTTCGGCATTCAAGTGAAGTCTTCTGGTCCACATCCGATTGAAAGCTCGATGTTCCGGATCGGAGGAAGGAAGTGGAGTTGTGACTGTGTTCAAATCCATTTCAACATTCAAGGGGCTCATGCACAACTCTTCAACTTCACATGTGTGAGCGAAGTGAACGCGACGATGGTTTTCCCCTTCACCATGAACCACATGTAGTTGAGGGTGACCGTCATGACATTGTTTGCCACAACAAAGGAAGTCCACCAGGTCAATCATGTAGTGCTGTTTGGCATTCTGGGGGAGGTAGAACGGTTGACTTCCTTCAAGGGCTCCACAAACAGCATAACCATCCTGGAAGTCGATGATGAGACCGTTTCCCCTAATGAAATCCATGCCAACCAGGACTGGCACCAGCATCGACGAATCGAACCAATCTTCCTTTGTCTCGGGAGGATCTGGCAGTGTGAATGCTTCAAATGTTCTTCCGGTGAGGCTTGAACAAATGGAGATGTGGAAAAGGGCACGACCCCAGCTGCCAGAACCGAAACGAAACCTTGGTCGTCTTTTTCCATCGATCTTGACTGATGCGCTCTTGTCCACAGCCAGGATGGAGGTCACCAGGCGGTTGATGGAGGTCTCAGGACCAGCAGAGCAGGTTGCTCCGCAGTCCATCATCCCCAAATTTCCAGGATTCTCCTGTTCAACCTTGGACAGGTCAAGGGCTCCCTCATGAGGTTCGCGGTCAAATTGAAGACCGTGGAAGTCGAAGGTGTCCAGGGCATAGGCGTTGACATTGTTGCGATTCTTGCTCTGGAACTTACCCTTCTGGTTTCCTTTGGACTTCCCCTTGGAGTAGTAGTAGTTCACGAACTCCTCCATGAGGTGGGCCATCTTACCAGACGATTTGCCCTTGCCTTTGCCTTTGGTGAAGGCCATCGTGTCATAGCCGTCGTCGTAGGCCATGTGCATGTTTTTCCCATATCCTTTTCCTTTGTGAGGTGGTGCATGTCGGTCGGGGCAGTCTCGAGCCAGGTGGTTTCCACCGCAGTTGAAGCATCCGCGATGGGAGGAAGATTGACCAGACTGGCCAAACCCTCGAACCTTTCGGATCATTTGACTTGTCCTCTGGGCTTGAGACCATGACCGATCAGCAGCCAGAGCTTCTTGAGGAGGTTCGCTGGTACCACCTTGGTCTTCAGGAGCAGGTGTGGATTCTGCCTCCTCAATGGCGTCATTCTCATAGTACCAGTCTCCGGATTCCCAGGCCATGTTAGCCCAGGGATCTGACCAATCCCAACTGGAGTCATCTTGCCAGCCCCAATCATCCTCCTCCACATGGTGAAGGGAGTGCACAGGACCATGAGCTTGGGCATGGCGATGATGTTGGGCTTGCTCATCGAAGAGGATCATCAAGGCCGAGCTCACTGAGTCATAGTCCAATTGGTTCTTCGTGCTGGCCAATATGGAGCGCCATTCCTCAGCGTTCACGGATGCACCGCTGAGCAATCTCCAACCCCTCAACTGGGTCAAGATGAAGGAGTCGGTGGTGGACAAGGAAGTAGGTCCTCCTCGTGGAGCTGCACGTGAAGCTGCTCGAGAACCAGGTTCATCGGGATCTCCTCCATCAGGATCTCGTTGGGGAATCTTCTCATAGCCTTTCGGCGATTCCTTCTTCTTGGATCCAGCATTGGATGAAGCACCACCATCATCATCGTCCTCCTCGTCGGTGTTGGGGTCGATCTCGTCGAAGATGAAGTCCATGGAGGGTCCATCCTTCAAGTCCATCAAGGACTCCAAGAACTCCTCAAAGAAGAGCGTTTCTCTGACGAGGTAGGCACTAACACTTTCGCCTTGGATGCGTTTGTAGGTGAAATATTGCTGCATGACAGCGGCGGTGTTGGGAAGTTTTCTTCGAACAAGTGGTGAAGCTTCCAGTTTCTTCATCATAGATTGAACTCCATTGGAACCTGCAATGTCCGTTCGGTTCCATGACATTGCCAGCAACCTGGCAGGGCCAGTCAGCTTCGACACCAGGCGTGGACCAATGAGGGCTCGCTGGTTCTTCTTGGTGCCCAGGACATACCATGCTACCTCTCGCTGGTAGCGCCTCCAACCCCGTGGATTTCCGTCCCACGAAGGTATTGTTTCAGCCGTTTGTTTCGGCTCCATGGTGAAATTGCCGTTGGCAAAGAAGTGGAAAAAGGTGAAGATCAGGATCACAAAGTCCTGGAAAAGGTTCCCCAAGGAAGACCGTCAGGTCAAAATCCTCGAAGAAGTATGGAGAAAGGCCGCCGATCTTATTCTCGGCGTTCAGGCGATAGCCACAAGCCCCCCAAGCCGCGTGGCCAGAAGCGGATCCACAGCCTGTCGACGATCAAGTCCTTGGTGTCGTAACCGCGGAGAGTCACCGGGCTCAGGCTCAGGATCTGGTTCTGGTCGGTCAGGACGTCCTTGAGGTTCAGGATGTGGTTCTTCCCTCTCAGGAGACAACGAAAGAAGTCTCCTCCTCACGGATGGAGGATATCCAAAAACAACAGGCGGGAAGACACTGAACCGCTGCGGAGGCGACCTTGACCGCCACGAAGTCCGACCGCTCGTGGTCGTGGATCTCTGCCTCCAAGGTCAGGACCTTGACAAAGCCACACCAAGAGCGCTGGAGCGACCAGGCGCTCCGCTACCAATGCGGTAGCTAGAGTGCCAACACCCTATGGGTAGTGGGTGATGCCAATCACAAACACTAGGATGTAGATGGCTTCGAACGAAAACACAAGATGCCCAGCTTATGGGCAAGCCGGACAAAACACAAGTGCCACGCTGGTGCGGCAGCGGACCTTTTCGCTTGGGCGAGCCGTAGGCTCAAGGCCTTCGGGAAAAAGTGGTTCTCATGCCACATGCCGTCATGACTCGATCGCACCGGTTTCATCGCAGGACAGTATGGTGTAGAGGCTTCCATGTGTGACCCCGAATTGAAGGAAGTCAAATTGATCCTCGACTAAGGAGGCTCAGCGACCGAACCCGGTTTCAAAGCCACACAGCTCCTCAGTGCGTCCAAGACGTGGCCATCTGTGGCCATCCCGCTGCAATAGCAAGGACATGCAAGGACGCTACGAACGTAGCGTCCAGGGCATTAGTACCAGACGCTACTGGTTACTGGTAGCAGGGGCATCGCTACTAACAAGGGCATCGCTACTAGTAACAAGCGTCCAGACGCTAGTAGCCCACCCACTTTCAATGATCCAAAAGCTCAGCCCATCGACTCCACCCGGCACGGAGAAAAAACCAGCGGACCGACCTGAAATCGACAAAACGCCATTTCATGCACACAAAGAGCACGTGTCTGGATCGCTGTCAGGGCCGAGTCGAGCTCCAAGAACCCGAGTTTGGGCGGTGAGCTCTCCAGGTATGTCCTACTGAGAGCCTCTTTGAGGCTCAAAGCAGCAGAAACCACAATTCCAGGTCAGAAGCCATAACACTGGGGACAGGTTCGCCAAGAATCTTTCTTGGATCAAGTCCTTCTAGTCCGGCTCAGACCCACTACCAGACCCACTACCGAGCTGAGGGTTAAATCCGATCCTGTGAGTCGTTGCTCACCCTTCTACCGTGATCACTTCTTCCACTGCCGCTGCTTCCTCTTGGTACCTCATCACGTCCCCAGGAACCGAGGGCACTGCCGACTGCGGAGACTGGCTGGTCTAGAGTGGCCCTTGTGAGGTGGTTGAAATGGGTGAACTGAACTGCTCTTGATGTGGGAGTTGCATGTCTAAAACTGCCAAGTGCACGCGAGATCCTGGAGGGCCAGGGGGAGGAGCCACGAGACGTGTCTTTTCTTTCTAGCTGTCAGGCACTGACAAAGCATGAGGGTTGATCTTTGGTTAGGTGGCAGTGCTTTCTTGGCCATCCTGTCGCACGCTGTTTGGTGAGCATGGCCTTCAGTTGTTCAACCCATTTCAAGCCGTTTCGTGTCCAACACCTCAACGTGGTTGGGCAACACCTACACCTCGAACTCAGCCTCCTCGCTGAGCTTAGTCATGTGGCTTCAGGCGTTCTTGCATGCCCTTGATATCCCAGGCATAGCTGGCGGTAAAGACCTCGGAGCCCCGTTTTTTGACCCCGTGTCCAATCCAAGGGAAGTCTTCAATCCGAGGTGTCAGTTTTTGGGATGGTTCACAAAAACCCATGTCTGAAGCCTTGGGATGGTTCATGGGGTCTGCAGTTTTGTTCTTTCTTTGGTTTTCTCCAGAACCTCGAGAAAACAAAAAAATAACTGCACACCCCATGTATGAATTCTTGGCATGGTTCGTGGGGTCTGCAGTGTTTTGTGTTTTCTCGGAGTGTTTGAAGTTGTGTTTTTTGATGGGTTTTATCGGATTTGCGAATTGCATTGATTGTAGGCAGATACTCACAAATGGGGAACACGCAGCCGTCCGCCACTGGTCCACTGCACTCCTTAAGTAAGAGCCTGGGCCATGCTCTTTTGAATTCTTTTGTACATCCCCACCGTTTTAAGGGGGGGGACCTAACCCCCCCTTTCGAAAATGAAAATGGTTGTACGGTTTTCCATCTGTTCTCTTTGGTTTCTTCCTTCTAGATTCCAAGCGTCTCTCCACTTCCACTCTTCCACCAGTCCTCTCCCTCCACGCCAAGGGGCCATAATGCCCAGCACTGAGAGCCTCTGCGTCAAGCCACGCAAGTTCTTGGCCCGGACCTCCTCACCACTGCGCAAGGGCGGAATCAACTCCTCGCACCGGGTGCATGGCGGTCGTGGAGAATGGGAGGGGCCCGGTGCCATCTGGTGACATGAAGGTGGTGAGTTTGGTGCTGGTTTCAGGGACAGAGACTGGGGCAGATGTGGGGGGCAGGACGTGGCGTAGTCCAAGCCAAGTAGTGCCGATTCTTGACTCCATATATAGTACTTGCCATCGGGTTTGCACCTTTGTCGGAAGTCTGACGCAGGCTCCCAACGCTCCAAACCTCGCTCTGGGCTGCATCGAACGGATTCCACCTGTTTGGAGGAGGACCTTCAACGGGATCACATGGGATCACCGTGGCTACATCAACCCCCCAAACACACCTCCCAAAACACATTGACCCGTCCAGTCAGAAAACATCGCGCTAATTCGAGTACACCATATGATTTCATCTCCCTTATCACTCAGATGAATCGCTCGCAGCTCCGCAGCTCGCCCTCACCTCGACCCCAGGCAGGGTCGGAACGAACGAACGGTCGCAGCTCCGCATGCGCCACGGGTCGGGCGGAACGAACGTGGCCGGAGCACCGCTAGCTCTGAAGCCCAGCTTCCAGGATGAGCAAGGGGACCAGTTGTGATACACAAAGGATCAAGAAAATGAGCACCGCTAGCTTCAGCCAAAAGGACCTCAAAAGGCGGGTGGTTTCTCACCGATGTTCTGAGTGTGAAAGTGGTAGGGAAGTGGTTGAAAGTGCGGGGTCCGGGTTGGAGGATGAGGACGGTGAGGGCTCTCCCAAGTTCATTCCACCTGGACAACTCGAAAACCGAGAAATGTGCGAGGTGAGAAAAGTTACAAAATGAAGCAATATCATGAGAAAAACAAGAGGACAAGCTTTAACGGTGCTACTTTTCGACTTTACATTTTTAGACAGAGCTGTTCGGTTCGACTTTCTCGTATGTTGGCTTTTTGAATCACAAAAAAAAACATGTTGCCAACAACCCTTGAGGCTAACCCTCACCCTGCCGGGGGCGCTACCGATGAAGGGTTGCAATGCTTTTGAGTCTTTACCCTTTCTACCCTTGACTGCTTGGGCCACTCTTTGTTAGTTCACACTTTGTTAGTTTGGAATTTTCTGTTGGCTTCACACTCTGCCGGTCTGTCCGCCCCAGGGTGAAAACACTTCCAGCAGCTGCAGACAGTTCGATAAGAACCAAAACTGCACACTGAGGAGTATCGAAACATCACGACTGGACAAACGAGGGAATCAAATAGGTGTTGAGAACCTCCACTTCACACAACATCACACAACAATAAAAAGAACAACTTTCCTAGGTTACCGATATGTCTCCAAAAACAAAAAACGGCCGATGAATGACCTGCGCGGCACCTGCGCTCCCATTTCGTGGCACTGCGCCACTGGAGGGCGCGGGCAGCCAGAAAGAAACCGCCAGAGAGAAAGGAGGCCAGGAAAAACCTGAGAAATCAGTGGCCCAGGAGAAAATGCCAATGCCGCATGCCAGCCACCACAACAACAACAACAAAAGCAACAACTCAGTTACTAAAAGAAAAAGGTATCGACCTACAAAAAACAAAGGATACAAAAAGATATATATGTTTACAAAAAAGAGACCCAAAGCCTCTGCAACTCGGTGCGGCGAAGTCGACTACACGGGTCGCCCCGGGCCGCCGGGGCGACTATGGGGAGGGAGCGGTGGGCTGCGGTTTTTGCCCCTGCTCCAATGATATGGTTCAGTTCCCAATGATATGGTTGAAGTCGGTTTATAGTAAGTTTCTCTATATGAGCTTGGCCAATGATCTTTGGAATTTGAACCAGTTCGGTTCAGCTGCACTTGTGCAGCAACCTGACATCAGAAGAAAGGATCACGTGCATGGCTTCTGGGGCTGAAATGCTGGAGTTGGGCTGGAGTGGCCAGATGTGAAATCCCTTGTTGAGGAGCAGTTGCATTGTCGCCGGAAGGGTGCTTTCTCATTGTAGCGCATGTACTATTGGAAGCTGCCTTTGCATATGCTGGCATTATTCACCTACTTTGTGACGCTTGTGTCGTCACGACTTGAAGAATGACAAGACCTGGTTGCTCTTTGACCAGGATGGTCCCGACCCTCTGCTCACCTAAAGACCTAGGTGACCTATGCCTTGCTTGTGGAATTCGAGGCCTAGGGACGACTGTCACTGACCATGTCACTTCCGATCCTCACAACCATCGCGGCGTTCACGTGGTTGTGAGCGAGCTTTCTCCTATTTCTTCATGGGAAGTCTTACTGCAAGTATTCCCCACAGCTCATGGTCCGTGCTCTTCCATCTATGGTGGTGGGTGTGCTGTCTCCGGACCTTTCTCCTAGTTACCCATCTTGCAGCATCGGTCTGTGTGGATTCGGGGCGTACCGGGCTCGTCCGGAGCCACCGTTAGACGCGGGAGCGACGGGCGGTCCAAGGCGATCGGAGACCGGACATGCCAAGGTGCAGGATGGAGAGTTGCTGGTGGATCAGACCTCCCTCCGGGATCCTTGGATTGGCTGGCTTGTTCGGAACCATGTGTTCAAAAGAACGGCAGGGGAGTCACCCACAGGGAAAATGACCAAAAAGGATACAAACCGCTAAACCAGGGATCTGGTGCTGATTCTCCAGAATGGTCCCTGAATGCGTGATTGTGGCTAGGCCTTGGCAGCTTCCGAGGCCGGGACTCAGCGTGTTTTTTGTGATTTCTGACCCCAGAATCTTCGATCGCCGATCGCGGAATATGAATATATATATATATATAATACCAGGACCCTCCAAGGGGTGTCCAATGGACTACCCCACACTACCTATAGGCTTCCATTGGCACCCCCAAGAGCGTCCTGGTATGTTTTTCGAGTTTGTCGTGGGTGTCCCCCAAACAACCTGCTGTCCATGCTGTCCTGCAGTCGGCCTAGCCACCCACGAGCGCCAGTGACGCTAGCACGAAGAAGGCCTCCGATATTCCCAAGAAGCCCCAGCGCAGCCACGTGCGGAGGCGCGTGCGGAGGCGCGAGCTGCTCGGCCGGAAGAAGGCCAGGTGAATAAAGAAGGTGCTGGGAAGGAGGAAAAGCACCCATGTGACGGCCACACCTAGTGTCCAAATGTAGCCTCAGCTTCGAGGGTTCCAGTTTGTGGTGGGCATGATGAGACATAGAGGTTCAATGAGAATCGAGAGCTTCAAGCTGCGTCAGGCATGGAAGGGGGGAGCTTGCACCATGTTGACTCTGACCAACTTCTGAGTACAGTAACGTCTCACTGAACATAACCGTATGGCATGGAGCTGCGAAAACCATACACCAACCGCCAACCGGATGTGACCGAATTCTACAAGCCCCAAGCCCGTGGAGTTCGCTCTTGGGCGCCCGGGCGGAATAAAAGTGAAAGTCGACTCTTCTTCACTTCTTCACTTGTGGGTGATCTCCTCTATCAACAAAGGTTAGCCGTCTCCATGGGCTCTCTGGATTCCCATGGATTCTGATGAACCACCCCAGCAAGGCCTGAGACTCACCGAGCTCTTCACCCCTGGAAAACACGGGAGTCCGGGGCGCTCTCAGGCGGCTTTCGAGTGGTGATGCTGATTTCCTCGACGTAGGCGGTGCGTTGGATACCGGCCTCTAAGACCTCGCACTTCCCACTGAGCACTGCCAGGATGTGAGAGATCACCTTGGTTGGGCGAATGAATGGGTGCATTTCCAGGTACATCCAGGTACATGGCATGCGTTTGGTGGTTCACAACCAGGGGTAGCCCCTCCAACCAACCTATAATAGTAAAGGCCATCTATGAGTTGGGAGAGGATGAGGTCGACGTTTTGTAGGATGCTCGATGACCGCCGTCTTGCAATCCGCATCACGTGTCTAGCCTCGTCTTGGCTTGTTTGGCTGGCTTCGTACCCCGCGAACGGATGCCGCTGTTTCGACGAACCGGTCACGATAAGCACGGCCAGGATCAGCATTGCCAAGGGTGGCCACAGCACCGCTGCCCTGGACCGTGCCAGGGCGCAGATGGCTTGGCTCGGCGCCGTTCCCTCCGCCATGGCATTCTGCGAACTGCGCAGGACAAGGGCGATGGGGGGGCCTGAGGGGTTCCAGTTTCCTGAGTGGAACAATGAAGGAGAAAACAGAACAGTTGGGCATGAATTCGCCCAGTACGCAATAAGCATAACGACCGCTGTTGTTGGGGAAAAAAACGGAACACCTGGTCCGTCACCATCCAGCGGTCCGTTGGCATGTGGCCGCCTTTGGCCTTTCGAGCTTGGCAGCCTGGACCGTGTTCGGGTTTGGTGAAAGTGTTCGGGCTGACCGTTTGGGTGGAGAGTTCCCATCCACGGAAGTCGCTCTCTGGGTCTTCGCCGGCGAACCCGGGGTTCCACAGCACTTCCGGCCTCCTGAGCCTTTCTGAAAGCGCGGTGAGGCGGGGTGATCTTGGCACCATGTAGCACCCAACCGTTACAAATTGCAATATGAAAGTATATTGTGGAATCATACGATTGAAGTACGGTTGGAGGCCATCGCCACTGGAGGCCATCGCTGCTAGGTTGGAGGCCATCCACCACCAATCGCCAACCACCACCACTCTCAGAGACCTGAAACGTTGCCCCCGGATGAACGGGCGGGTCCCTGGTCCCTTCCTTACGGTGTGTCATTCAAAAGAGCGGGAGAAGCGGGGCAATCGATAGCTGGTCTAAACGATAATTACGGTAGACCGACCATGGAAACTCCGTGAGTTTAGCAAAGGAAGACGGGGAACGTCCGTTGGTCCAGGGATTTTCTGGACGGAGACCCCTGCGGCTCCGAACCACTCCCTCTTTTGAGACAAAGCTGCTGCTATAAAGTCGTGGGTTCCATGTCTCTTGTACCTCGCCTGGTGATTTATGGTCTTTTCATGTCTCTTCGATCTTCCCCACATGTCCTTCGATCATCCTATCCAACTGCGGGCAGGCCCTTCTTTTTGCAAAATGCAGCCGATAATCGTCTTTCAGTCCAACTGCCTATGACAAGTCGGGTGAATCAGCTCAACTGATGTGAAGCGTTGTGTCGAACTGCAGCACGCTGCAGTCCTCAGCCACGTACCAGGGTCACGAAGAAAGGACCAAGCGTCACACCCAAAAAGCATGGGAAGAACCAATTTTCTTAGCTCAAACCTTTCTCAGGAGGGGAACTCGAGCCAACGCATTCTGAAGTTCGGGGTAACAAAAGGCCTCCATGCATGGACCTTATTCCGCACCTTGCGACGCAGCACCTTGTGGTTTCGGCCCACTTGTCATGCCGGTGTCCGCAAGGTCCCGGACCAAAAAGCACGAGGAGCCGTGGCCTGTCCAACCCAAAGTCATCCAACTCACGAATTTGGGCAAGATGTTCTTTTGTTCTGACCCTAGGGCTCCAGTCGTACCTTCTAAGAAGGTGGGACTGGGGTGGGTTTAGAGGGTCAAGTCATACCTTGTGAGGAGGTACGACTGGAGCCCTAGGGTGACTACAAGGAACTGGCCTGTGATCCTAGCTATCCCAGCTGTTGAATCAGGTGGACCCTATGATCTCCAACTCCGGCAGGCTTTTCCAGACCGTCTTCAATTAATCAATTAATCTACGAATATGCATATCATGATCAACGGCACTCCAGTTCAATGGCGCACCGATCTTAAGGTCTCATTGCTTTGCCCCTCCATTCCCTCAATGCGACAGTTCATTCCCAGGCAAACAGACTTCTGCCCAACAAATTCACCCAAGACTCCTGGAGTGGCTCAAACAGCTTTCTCCAAAAGAGCCGAACGTTCCGAGCTCACCCCGCGACGCTCTGGAAGACGCAAGAACCCCAGCCAGGCTCCCCGTCCCAGTGGCAATTAGTGAGATGTTGCGAAGTCTTTGTCCCATCCAGTTCCTGGATCGACATACCTCAGCGGAGGCACCGTCATGGGCTCCCGGGACGGCGTCAGCTTCAGGCCGTCATGGGCGAAAAGGGTGCCGAGCCGGCGCTTCACAGGGCCGATGCAAAGGGGAGAGTTGACACAGGTGCTGTGATGTCCTCCAATGAACACCCCCGAACAACAACAAAAACCTATATGCAACTATTACGGGCTCTACATGGCAGGGGTCGGACCCATAGCAGGGGCCCGGACCCGAACCAAACCCTGTGTGTTTGAGGGCCTGGACTCTTAGGGTAGCTCTATATGCAAGTACAAGCTTTGAAACGACGGCGCCTGCGAGAAAATTCTTGGTGTGTCATTCTGACTGTGCAGAAGTGGATTCTGAATGGGTGTGTCAATTCGAACGTCTAATTACCACACAGTTTACACATCTGCAACTGTCACCCCCACATTTCACTCACACATCAGCAGGCCTGGCAACGAGAAGCGACCAACTTCCAAAAACCATCAGGACCTGATTTCACCCAAAAGCCGTTTGCTTGCTCGCGTCCACTCTAAGCGTTCGGCTCGAGCCTTTACTTAAAGAGAAAACAGAGGGCCTCGCTGTGTTCCACAGCCTCTTCCGAAAAAAAGAGGCTGCGCACGCCGGCATTAAGCGAATTATGGTGGCCACTGTGGCTCAAGGAACAGAAGTGCACAGTGCACGTGTCCGCAGTGGAGTGTATAAGGCTGTGTTCAGGAGGGCTTATATGTGCAGTTTCTTAGGGTTGGGTGAACAAAGCCTTCACAATGAAATGGCTGCGGAAACAATGTCTGAAAATACTCCAATAATTATGTGTCTCAACCCTGGCCACTAACCAGCCATTCAGAAACCAGTCAAGTGAACCAACCCAAAAGCCGCACGAGTTTGAAAACGACCATGCGCCGGCCCTGCCGGCGTCAGTGCGGCTTTTCAACAAGCGGCTCAATCGTCCTTGGGGCGTCCTCTTTTCGCGCCACAAAGTTCTGTAAATCCTCCGGGGAAAGCGATGAGGAGAAAGCCGGCATCGCGGTCAAATCATGTTGACTGAACTTGATGTTCCACACCATCCAACGCTCTGATTTTGACCCAGAGGCTACGAAAAGCATCCCTTTTTCACAGCCATCCTCACACTGAAACATGGAAAAAAGGGCCCATCCTCTCCCTGCTTTTTCTTCCCGCGGTGTGTCCCGTGAGGTCCCGTGTCCTTCTTACTTTTCACCACCGGCTTATAAGGTGGAAGTTGGGCTTGAGCGGAGAGTGCTTCCCAATCCTTGGAGCGAGCGACGTCGACGGTCAGCAGACGTCCACGAGAGCGAAGGTGCCGCACTTTCCCCGGTCGGAATGGTCCGGCGAACAAACAGAACGACGGCACAAAACATCGCACGATCGGACAATCAATTGGATTGTGGACTCCATCGTCTAGCTTCAGTATGCCTTTGCCTTTGAACTCGGGGTCATCTTCGCATCATCCACCCTGCTTTGGGTGCCGGGGATGCTCCAGTCTCCTTGTCACCGCCGGACCTGGTTCCAGCGCCAAGCAGCGAAGGTCTCGAACCACTTGTGCCCGATGAGGTTCTTCACGCCGCCGGGCTTCATCGGCAAGCGTTCCACCGGGTCGTTCCTGGCGGAGCGCGTGCGAGAATCGCGCGGCACGGGCGGCGGATCGGATCCTTCCCCTTCTTGTGCGTCTTCGGGATGGGATGGGATGTGGAAAACCCAGAAGGAGCTTCTTGAATTGGCCCAACAACTGGTAGCACATCCTGGAAAACGAGCGCGACACCACGCCACCAACTTCAGCCATTCTCGTGGTGGGCGCTCTGGTTCGTGAAACCTTGTCGGAGAATAGTAATAGTGCAAGCCTCAAAAGAGATATATATCACACAGCCTTAAACACAAAGCTATCATGGCCCTCTTGCGCACTCCAAACGACATGTCTCCGGTTGAATGCGATGCTTCACATCGCGTGCGCTCGCGTGCCGTGGCCATCCGTTTTGATGGCCATCCCTCAAAGCCACCCGTACAAAGCCACAGATGAGGGTTGCACCATGCGACAAGGCATTCAATAAAGAGCTTCCAGACATCAAGCAGCAAGCACGTTTGAGAAAGGAACTTGAGTGTCTCAAACAACATCAAACAACCCAATGCCAACCACCGTTCAAAAAGACTCACTTCTGATCCAATTCTTTAAAATGCTTTTTGATCACGCAAACCACCAGGGGCTCCGTGCACACGAACACCGGAACACCGTCTGCTTCCGCCCTCAGGTCGAGAGTCTTCAAGAGGCTCTCGATGAGGCTCCGACAGGTGCCCTTGATCACGGAAGGAAATGGCACCTTGCCGATGCCCTTCGTCACCTCAACCGTCGAGGACGGTGGAGAAGAAACCGTGACCGCGTGGCAGGTTGGCATGCGACCCGGTGACCCACCGGCCAACTGCAGGGGGACCCAACAAAAAGCCCAGAAGTGCTGCTGCACCCGGTGGCACCCGGAATCCATTGGGCACGGAGGGTCGCAAAAGCTGATTCTTGCATGTGTCCGGTGCTCGACCTTTGGCCGTTGAGATGCTTGAGGAACCGAGGTAGGGAACCACTTGAGGAACGGTTTCCACCGCCGGGTGATCGCCACTCACTTCGGTGTTGATATGACGCAGCCTTGGCATAGATCTGCATGGGGTAGGCCGATTCAAAGGGAGGGTGACCAGCCATGAGCTCGAAGATGAGAATGCCCAGCGTCCACCAATCAACAGCATTGGTATGACCTCACGATCTGCTTCAGAAAAACCGCCACAGCTTCAACAGCAAAATCAGGAGAGGCCCAGAGGCCGAGCCCCCTTCCCCCCGAACTAAACAACTCAAAAGCATTGGATCAAAGAGACGAGGTCTGGTTCCGCTCGGCCCCCGGCAGGTCACCCAAAACAATCAGCTGGAGATAGAGATAGAGACGGAGACCCTCCATCGTTCTGTTCTACTACCCACTTACAGTAGGTTCGGTAGGTCACCCTTTATGGGCCCTCTGGGTTTTAGGATCGATATGATGGTCACTGGGCAACGTCCAAACGACCGTCTGGGAGACTGGGTCCAGTTAGACCCAAGAAAGTACTGTGACCTAGTTCGGTGACCCAAAACGGGGGCCACGACCCTTAAGCAACGATGACGTCCAAGTAATGTAGACCATGTTGACTCTTGATGGTATTTTAGCCTCGCAGGCCTGGAGAGGTTGAGCAAATGTCTGGGATTGTTGTTATTATTGAAGTGGAAAAAGGCAGACAAATACCTAGCTTTCTGCCTCAGTCCGCTTGAGCCCCCTAAATAACCACCCCAACTGATCGGCATAATATGGCAGTCCCATTGGTCGTGTTTGAATCACTCGGAACATTGCCGTGGCTGGAATCCATATTTCCTCCCTATGGGGGGGCAGGCTCCGGAAGTGCCATGGTTATGGTCCAAACTCTCCTTTGCCACAGCTGTCCATCAATTGTTTGGCTCCAGCTGCACCAATTCAACTGCGCTTGGGATTTGAAGGTGCTCTTAAGTAAAGAAGCAAAGCTGGCGATACCATCACGCCAAAACACAATTTGCTATTTACAACTCCAGGCGACCTGTAGATGCAATCACTTCTGGCGCAAAGTAATCCTTGGCAGCTCTCTCTCTCTCTCTCTCTGCCCCGTCTCTCTCTGCCCCCTCTTCCGCCTCTTAGAGCCGACGGTTGGGGGGGACGGCCCCCTCTCTCTTGGGGCAGACAACCTCCGTCCAGTCTACAAGGCTGCAGTCACTGGTGGGTTGGGACTTCACTTGGATCTTAGGAAATCAGGATCCATCAGGGATCCATCCGAAAGCGCGCTCGCGAGCGCGCTTTATCAGCGGCGCACCAGGAACTGGCTCCGAACTGGCTGGGCTTCAAAACATCGCAACAGCACAAACATCATCGTGCACTCCCTGGAATCACCCTGCAAGTGGAAAGCAGCGGAGTTCAGTATGAGGATTTCATGTTCATCCGATTTCGGGGCCATGCCATCCACGTAACCACAGGGGAGTGTAGATGATATCACCACAAGGGTTTGGGGGCACCACCTGAAGCTAACATAGGACCCGCACATGGACCAATCCTTCATGTTCATCTGGTTGGTGGTTTCAACTCACTTGAAACATCTTGACACATATTATTTTTGGTCAGCGGGTTCAATCATCTCAATGACTCAAGTATTATATATATAGTAATATTTAAGGTTGAAAATAGAAATATCTGAAACCACCACCCAGTCATTTCTTCTTCCAAAATATGTATTTGAACTTGGCCCGTCAAGTTCACGCCGTCTGTCGAAACTGCCGGAAGCGGCCGTCTGTCGACACGCTCCACGGATTCGGAGTCGACCGCGCGGCAGGCGTGCCACAGGTGGTGTAGGTTTTGCCGATCACGAACTTGGCCAAACCCATGTCCGTCACCTGGCGCTGTCCGGTTTCCTGGGCCTTTCCAAAGGGTCGGCGAAGACGCTGAGGAAAAAAGAAACAGTTTTCCTCAGAGTGGCTTGGGATAGATGCTGGAGCTCTCTAGAAGTCCGGGTGCCTTTGTGCATCTTTTGGGGCAGGACTGACGGAAGTGGAGGGGTTGGGGATCTACATGTGTTTCCAAAGCTTGGTAGCTGGCTATCCGGCTGGCCACCTCAGGTCAGATCTCCGAGATTCGACGTTCCGACGTGTGCCTTCAAGTGCCCCTCTTCGGTCAAGAGCAGATTTTCGGGCTTGAGATCCCTGTAAATGATCCTGCACATCTGAAGAGCTGGAGAGAGGTGCTCCTATCCCCACATCTTCCTCTCGTAACAGGTGCCACTCACATGTCCTGGTTCTAGACATTGCCTTATTGCTTGGCAAATGGGAAGGGCGGTTCAGCAAATTTCGGTCTAGCGACACACGTTCAAACATCCACAGAATCCAAACTCCCACATCACATGGCGAGCAATCACCAAACCAAATCGGGCATTCCGGCACTCCCTCTTTCCGTGTTTCGGGCTCCCAGTCGTGAGCCGGGTCCTCCTCTGGTGCATATGCTCGAAGGCATTGATCACACACGCGGAGTAAAACCTGAAAAAAAAACGCCGATATCCAGGGGATGGAATACGATTTCTCCAAATGACACACTGAAACTCGTTTGTTTAGACCAGCATTTCATCACCACGTCCACGTCCACCCATCGGCGGGATTGAGCTGAAGAATGGCTCAGTGAGTCTATGGCTTTGCTGCAGTTAATGCAAACTACAGGCATGGACGCTAAACTCATGGGATGGAGAACCTCCTGTACGACGAAAACCAACCTTCCGGTGACATGGCATTGTTGGAGTAGCTGTGGGATGTGTAGTCAACAGAAAGCTGCCGCTGATGTGAACACCGTCACACGCCACAACTCTTTGAGGATTCCTGCACTAGATTTGAGCATTGCATAGTTTGATGTTTGAAGGCTTTCCTGATGCAGGTCTAAACAGGACACCCAAGCCTGCAGTGCTTCTCAGAGCCGTATAAGCTCTTCCGCACATAGGTGGAGTAAAGTTCCCCACCCAGGCACGGCTCGAGCAAGAAATAGAGTGTCTGGGTGCCTGGGAGGCCGTCGCGGTCACCGATGGTCCGATCTGCCGGCCGATCTTGGAGGGGTTCTTGGGGTCGTCTTGTTGGGCGTTCGTGGTAAGCTGGCTGTAGCTGGCTGTAACTGGCTGTTTACAGCAAAGCCTCTTGTTGCTCAAAACTGTGCCCCCAAATCCCCTGCACAAACTGCACCGGCCAAATCGCACGCCCTCTACACTGCAATCTATGAAATTTCACTCAGGTCGACCATCAAAATCAGTCAAGAAGCCATTGTAGGTCTCGTACCTGGGCAGCACAACAGCGGGGCGCAGAAAGAGGCGGGCACTGTTTGTTCGTCGCTTCTTCTTCTCTCGGAGCACAGAGTTGGTCACGGGATGGTTTTGCCCCAACAAATCCAAACAACCAGAAAGAAATGGATGTTTCCCCAAACAGCCATTTCCTATGTAAAGGATTTCAATTGCCATATTGGAACAACCATTCGTTTCTGGTTGTTTGGGGTTCCAGGTGCAAAGATTCTCCAGGAGTTTGGGATGAATGTCCTCTTCTGGGCCGCTGGACGGATGAGTTGCACGTAGGTGGATGCAACTCATAGCTTTTCTGATCTACCTTCCTAAAGCCTGGACGTCCAATCTCTCTCTCGATCTGTATATGTATACATATGAATACATATAGTAATACTTACCTTGTCATTTTCTAGAAACTACGGGAGTAGCCTGTAGCAATTTATAACCTTCTTCTCAGCAGTTATATAGTTCCAGGTATATAATTATGCTATGCGCCAAAACCTTATCCTAGCCTTCCAAGACCTGTTCGGCCGTGTTGCTTGTCTTATGTAAACAAGCCACTGAGTCACTCCAAGACAAATCTTGTTCGGGGAAGATCTTAATAAACCAATTCGCCAATTGAATACCGCGGATGTTGAGCCCTTGTCACCCTCCCCTCGGCAGAAAACCGGACTGCTTCCGGAGTGTGTGGAATTCCTACCAGTAGAGGGGAAGGAACCAGCAATGACAGAATTAGTGAAGTCAAAACAAAACAGTTTATGGGAGGCCATCGCTACTAGGTTGGGGGCCATCGCTCTTAGGTTGGAGGCTGTTCGACCGGTCCTTTGAAAACGATCGCCCCAGCTGCCCAGTTGATTTGATCCACACTAGAACGGAGGATCGGATCCAAAAATCACGCACAGCCCAGTCACAGCTTGGTGATGAAGAGGGAGTTGGTCATGGCCAGGATTGCCTTTTCGTTCATGATGCTCTCCTGCCAAGAGAGCAATGTCATCTTCCCGGAGCCAAAAGAATCGACACACAAAATCAACAGAAAGGTCTCCTATACTTAACCATGTTAAACCGCTTTTGCCCAGCCTTCTCCATCCCGCCCACATCACAAATCAAATCACTGTTGCTTAGACAACTTCGTAAAACTCCAGACAAAATCTCTCCTGCATGCCCGTCTTCACAATGTAGCCCTTGCTGATGGCTTTCAACGCAAAGGTCTGTCCCGTCTTGCTGTGTTCCCAGAGCTCCACCGCGCCAAAGCCTGAAAGGCTTCCGGCTTAAGCGGTGAAGGAAAAGCTTCACGCCTTTGTGGATCCTCTACCGACCTCACTCCAGAGATTCCAGGCTTTCTTCGCGGCCGAAAAAAAATCAGGATGTTTGGGTGACAATGGAGCTGTTGACAGTTCCTACCCTTTTTCGTGAGATCCGAGGGCCTTGGAGCTCCTGAAAAGCATGTACTCAATCTTCGCGAGCCCTCGATGGTGCTGGTTGCGAGCACACAGGTGCTGGACACGACCGTTTTGTGATCTAACGATCCTTTTAGATTGCTTGGACCATGTCCGGTGAAAAAGGGACCATCTATGACCATCTTCCTCTAACAAACAGGTGGCCTTCCTCTCGGCAGTGAGTGAGTCGAAAACCATCGAAAACCTATTTCTTTCAGATCTTTCAGCTTCTGTCTAAACGGCCAGTCTCCTTGGATCTCCCTGGTCCGCGTCCGCCGGGCCTCCGCAGCCCAACAGCCCGATGCGCTTCAGCTCGCTTCGCTTGATCTTGGTGCGATTCTCGGCCAGGCAGCCCTGCGCCTGAAATTGAACGAACGTCTTCCGAGATGGCAACAACTTGCATGTGGATGTTTCATGGTGCTTTTGTGGGAACATCGTGCTCTTACAAGAGTACCATCAAGCACCATGACCATGACCGTTTCCTCCGCTCCCCGCCTGGGGCACCACCCTCTCGGGCCTCTCGCGGCCCTCTCGAGCAGCCTCGATGATGTCCTGGCGAGAAGGACCCCCAAGACCCGAGGCTTGGGAAGAAGAACGGCTGCGACGGAGCAGTGCTTCTCCTTGTGTTCGAGGAACACAGATTTCGAGGACCCGAAATGGATGAACAGCCCAGTGGATGAACACGAATCATGGGCCATGACTAGCCAACGGTTTGATGCATAAATCGCTTGCGGATCTAGTGGTTATGAAAGCATTTTGACATGTTTCCTGGAACTTCCACTAGAGTGGCTCTACATATATGCATACATGGAAACCAACATGGTGTGGCCACCTTTAATCGATTTGATTTGAGCCATGAAGCAACTCTTCACAACCAAGGTCAAGTCCACCAAACCTGCATCCCCAAGCAATGCCCTCGCCAAACCAGCAATCCCGGGCGGCAGAAACAAGAGAGACATGAGAAGACCACACCATGGATCTGCCCTGCCAGGATCCCAGAGTCACAAAACCCGAGCCTTCAACGGGCCGAGCAAAAGGTTGAAGGACTCCCGGTCCAAGACCAAACACTTCGCGTCCTGGACAACACATGTGCGTTGAAGTCGCAAGCCATGCAGGGGACTTTCTACTGTGCCAAGCTATGACCAACATAGGTGTTCCATGGTTTTCCTGCGGTGTTTTCCCAACATGGACCCTTCCTTGAGCAAGCTGAGCCTGTGTTGCCTCGTTTCTGTACTGCAGCGTGTAGGATAGAGGGTAGGACCGTAGGTCGCGCATCCCCAAGGCATCGCACTGGGCGGATTTGCATGCAGGCCCTCCAGGCCAAATCTCTCTTAGGTTGGAGGCCATCGCTGGTGGGTTGAGGGGCATCTCTATTAGGCGCTCTCTCTCTCTCTCTCTCTGTATCAATCCAGGCGAATCGCCCTAAATCTACTTTCAAGTTCATTCCCCCTCACCTCGTTCGCTCCTTCCTCCATCAGTTTTTGGAAGAAAACCCTATCCGGATTGGGGCGCACCATCCACCCACCCACCCGCTCCGAGGAGGTGACAACCACCGTGGCCGTGCGGTTCTCATTCTCCAGCAAGGCCATCTCCCCGAAAAAATGCACCTCAGCAAGGAGCTTCTGAGAAGCAGCACGCAGAAGAAACGCGTCATGGCATCCTGAAGACGAGGCGTTGTTCGTGGCGTTGTTCGGGCCAACTTGGACCAACTGGCATTTTGCCATCAGGTTCAGTGTGGTAGGATAGCTGGAATACAGCAAACTTCTATGGCACAACTCCCATGTCTTAAAGGTGATCTCACGGCACCCACCCCAAACTGAAGAGAGTGGAGTGAAGCGAAGTGAGACAAGAACCAGATCTGAGTACCTCCTACTCCTGGAGGTCTCACCCGGTTGCCTAGTCCCAGCTCTGGTAAGCGCCCGCCGGTCGCTGCCCGGTCGGGCGGTCCCAGGTACAGTGCCGCTCTTGCTCTTGGCCGACAAGGTGGCCACCTCAGCCGTGGAGGCCATGGAGGCCGTTTTTCACGTTTGAGCAGAGCAGGTCACTGCATCAAACGAAGGTGTCTTTTTCGTGGCGTTTTGTAGCCTAGAGTGAGTGACCCCCTCTTGGACAAAAAGGGTGAACTGCAATATCATAGAAGCAGTCTGGGTGCGTGCGTGCGTGCATGTGTGCGTGCGTGGGTGCCTGTGGGTGTGCCTTGGGGGCCCTAGTGCCCCAGTGCCAAAGGGACTTCAGTTGGAATGCCATGTGAGACTAGCATCCAAGAAGAAACCGTCATTCCATTGGCTCAACAAGTCCTGTTTGACGGCAACATGTTGCTTCATCTTCGAATTTCCTGTTCTTCAGCAAATCACACGTCCCCCTCGAAGGTGCCCGGTCTGAGTCCGGCAACCCCGCCAGACCCCTGCCCTGCCCGGGGGCGACCCGGACCCCGTGGACCGTGAAACGGCCGTCACGGCCGTTGGGCGTCCCAGGAACGACTTCACCATCCTTGTCGATGTTCACATCACCCTCATACATGATGTAGAACATGTTTCCCGGTTCCCCTGAGCCACGAGCAATTCGAGCCGGAATTCGGGTCAGGCGGAATCGACCGTGCACGGGTCTTGCTGGGCTGCTGGGTGTGAAGTAGATTGGAACTGAAAAAACACGTGCCAACGCCCCGGAAAAAAAACGGTCCTGGCGATTCTTGGACGTGCCTGGTGACGAGAATGGGCCATTGGCACTTCTTGGGCGACAGCGCCATTACGCAAAGGAACACACCACATGCCAAACCCAGTCAGAACCTTCTGAAAACCTGGGCCCCGTTGACATGTCAAGGAAGTCAGGGCACCAAACAGCACATGGCACACCGCACATCTTGCCTTGTTGAATGATCTTGTCTCCGGAGGCAAAATGCATCTCGACCAAAGCATTTGCCACTTGCTTCTTCTCTTCCGCCAGCAGAGCATCCAAAATAGAGACTTTGTCGAGGTATTTCACCTAAGATTCTGGCAAGTCTGCACTCTGCGTTGCACCACCCCAGCCTGCCATAGCCTGCCCAACCTGAAGAAGGAAACTCATCCCCAAAACCAAGCTGTTTCATTCTCAATCACAGCGCCACATGACTCGCCTTCAGCTTTCATGACCTACACTTCCCCCCCCAGCCCGGTGTTCTCCTCACGACCGAGCCGGGCGGCATATGCTCTGATCTTGGAGTCCGAGGCCTGCGCAGCGGCGGAGCGACGCGGCGAAGGACCGGAGATTCCGAAGCCCAACCGCGGTAGGACGCGACGCGCGGTTGGCTTTCTGGGTGGTTCTGGGCGGTGGGCGGTCCCACAGGTCATTCAGGTCCGAAGGACCCCCAAATTCAGAACTCCTAAAGCTCCTTCAAAGCTCCGTGACTTTCTGGAAGAAAGAGTGTCAACAAACCCGGCAGAAGACATCTTAGATCATCTTAGGGGGGGTGGTTCACCAGTGGTGCCAGTGCCATCTACTCTCCGGCATCTACACCGATTCAGTGGATCGTCCCACAGCTCCCGCCTTCATCAAGATGTTTTTAAAGTTGCTTCGGTCGATCACCCACACCGTGGCATCCGTAGAAGCCACCACGGTCGCCTTGGTGCAAACGGAACGGTGGGGTGGCGCTTTTTGGTGCACGTGGGAGAATGACGAGGGGTAGGCCCCCAGAAGAGATGGAGAACGCTTTCCAACACATTCTTAGTGGGGATTCGGGATCTACTTTTCCAATATGTGGTTGTCTATATATATATATATGACATGACATGGAGGTCTGTCTCGAAAACAGTACCTGACAACCAAGAACCTTCGTCATCTCTGCTATCGCTTGAGAATCCTTCGGAAGCCTCGAGCGTTCAGACCTACAATCAGCAAAAAGCCATGGGCCAAGATGCTGCCCTCGGCACAAAGTAGAGCAGGGCCAATTCGCCAAAGCTGCCCCCTTGGGCAACATGGCTGATGGTCCTGGTGGACGTGCATCCGACAGTGCGACAGGTACTGCCACCAGAATCGGGCTGAAGCCTGAACCATACTGTATCATACATCGATTGTACTGAATTCAAGGTTGAGCTCTTTCCGCCCCGTCTGTGGCCTGCACTCGCGATCCACGTGATCAGTCCACATAGACAACGAAAACAAAATGCATCGTCAGTGGGGTCTATAAACCACCCTTCGGGTGGTGCTGGTGATAGTCAACCTTTACTTTACTTATTCTGAATTCATACCGCATACCATTTCATACCAAGGAATCCAAGGACCCTGTGCTTTGACAGCCTCACAGATGCCCACGGACGCTCCTCTGGGGCGCGTCCGCCGGTGGCGGCGGTGGGGGCAACTGCGACTCCTCCCCGGTCTCGGCCGCCGTGGCGTTCTCCGAGGCGTTGGGCGCAGCGTCGGAGTCGCAGACCATGACCTCAAATTGTCCGGAGGCGACCACATAGAAGTAGTCCGCCTGCGAGGACCGTGGCGTTTTAAGACCCAGACCTGCAAATGAAACGACCTGCAGGCGTTTGGTCTTGCTAGTGGGCAGGTGGTGGTTTTGCTCTGGAGAAATGGTGTCAGTGAGGAATTGATGGGGTCTCTAGACTCTCTAGACTCTATCGTATTACCATGCATTACCAGTAACCATGGATGATGTTGGTTAGGTCCTAGGTTGCAGGCCTTGTTCTAAAATAGTGCTTGGTGGGTTTACTGATCTCCAAAAACGTGGACCGATGGACGAAGGCCGTGCCGTGGCGATGGCCGTGAAGGCCGTCGCTGGAGGCACGTCCTCTCTCGCCCGTGGACCTTTACAATGGCCAGGTGAAAGTTACACTCCCGAAAACTAACATAGACCCTGACAATGGCCCCCTGGAAAAGTGTTTTCCTCTACCAACCAGTGGTTTTCAGGGTCCATGTTAGTCTTCCAGGGTGTAAATGCATCCACCAAAACCTCCAGAGGTCAAAAGCTTGCAAAAATGGTCCACACCTCGATGGTTCACAATGTTCACACACCCGGGAAAAAGGATAGAAAGACCTTCAGGAGACCTGTTCGGCAGGTCCTTGAGTTGGCAGTTGTTTTTTGTTTTGCTGCTCCGGGGATCTACTTAGGGATTCTCTGTAAATTCCAGAAACAATTTAGTGGACGAATGTGTCTGAAGTGGGCGATTGATGGCTCTTCTAACCGCACGGTCTTTTCTTTCGAACCCACGGTGTGCAACACTTCTTGTGGTGTCCCTGCAGCATGTTTGTAAGCATGTAAGCATGGGTCATGGAGCGTTCTTTCGAGTTTTGAAGTGTTCAAAAGCCGCTTTTGCGGGGGATCACTGAAAATTTGAAGTGCCATCTGACTTAAAAAGTGCCTTCTGAACTTCCACTGTTGAATCTGCATTTAAAAAGTCACTGGTTTCCGGTTTCCGGTTCAAATCTTACGTTGTGTGGGTGTGTGGTGTGCAGTGCCCTGGGATGGTGTCTTGTTTCCAGTTGCCGATCCGTGCTTCGTGACATCCTGACGTCAATCGCGTCAGTCGACTCGCTTGGAGTTGGGCACTTGGTAGCACCGGGGCGGTCGTGCATCCCCAAGGCATCGCACTGGGCGGATTTGCATGCAGGCCCTCCAGGCCAAAGCCCTGCTCGCTCTCTCTCGCTCTCTCTCTCTCTCCCCCTTTCTTCCTTTCTTTCGTTCTTTCTTTCTTTGCAGGACCTGACTGCCTTCAGGACCTGCATCCGGCCTGTAAGTCGCCCTCGGAGATAATCCGCTCTCCGGCTTTCACCTCTTCCTTCCACATGACCTGAGAACCGTCGGGCGATTTCGCCCTTGCTGTTGGCTGGTCAGAAGCCCTACAAATCGTCTCCCTGCCATTGATTCAGATCTAAGCAAAGACCGGAACTTGGGGTCAAAGCGAGCCAGTCAGCAAACGGCATGGAAAATGATTCGGATTCCTTTCTTGACCCACGCCCATATATCTTGCACCTTCCTGCCATCTCCAGATTCAGGTCAAGATCCGTGCGTACCTTACCTGAAGCGTTCGTACTTCTTCCACATCTGCGTCTTTGCCGCACACATCTCTCTCAGCTGCCGCCGCGCCCCCAAAACCCGCCTCAATGAACGATTGAAGCCGCGAGGGGTCCAGCGTCGTCATCGTCGCCAGGTTCTCGTTCTTCTGCAACGCCAGGGTAATCCTGAGCGGCTCTCATCACCGGTGACGTCGGCAAGCACGACGAGACGGCCGTTCTTCTTCGAGGCGAAGAAGGATGATGTCACGGTTCGCTCTCGATCTCGAAGAGTTCGCATAATATTATAATATATATATATACTGCATATAGTGAAAGTTGAAATAAACCAGAGATGAGATGTTTTGAACATATTTTATGTGTACTTTGGTCTACCAGACACAAAATACCCAGAATTAAGGCTTCCATTGGTCTACCAGTCTACCATTCGGTCCGGATTGCCGGATCCACTCTGGACTGGTTTTTGAGGAGACCCAGTTGGGGCGTCAATACCTCCCAACCCAAAGCTGGGTGTCCAATGGAGACCTTTTTTGCGAAAAAAAAAAAAAAAGAAACAAATCAATTCGCTGCGGACCTATATGCATGTTTATATAACTGTTGAAAAGTATTATAAGCACTACTTCAGGTGTATATAAATGCATACATATGTATTGGTGACATTTGGTGACCCCGTAAGGAAGCAGCTGGTACATCTCACTCTCGTCCCGCTGGCCAAGGCTCATTTCGACGTCCTCCGGCGTTTTGGGCGTGGGCGGCTTGCATTTCACAGCCGCCTTCATGCCCGCGCCCACCGCCTTGCGGTTGGCAAACTGGAGCTTGGCGTTCAGCCCCAGCTCCTGGAACTTGTCCTTGAGGCGGGCGGGCCAAACATGGCCAACCACATCAGGTGCACGCATGTTCCAAGAAGAAGTCCTAGTAGGGAAAAAGGGCGGAAGGGTGTTTCGTTCTCCTAGGTCGTGCGCAAAAATGTTCTAAGAAGGTGTTGGGGGGAGTTGTGCCAGGGGCTGTGTTCCAAAGGATGCGCCACTGGCTGCCCGCCCGATGTATAGGAAACCGGATGTATAATAAGGACCATTAGGGTTTGGTAACCAAAAGGGTGCGTGTCCCACGCACCAAAGTCTCCAATGAACCCATTGTCCAAAGTTCTGCGAAAGCGGTGCAAACAATACGCAGCAAACCATGTCGGTTTACGCTGGCTGCGCCACAAGGCAAGAAAGCACATGATGCATTGATCCCAAATAAAAAACAGCAAGCAGAATGCAAAGGTGAAGCCCAGTTTGATTCTTCTTCTTCGACTGTTCTCCTGGAACCCTCTTCTATCGCCAAACATGCAACCGTATGGGAGCTTGTGTCCAAGCGGCTCTTCTAATCCTAAAGGCCAGCAATCGGCTGGAGGCGATAATGGTGGCGGTCCGTGGCTCGTCCCGCAACAAGGCATTCTCTCCAAAATAGTCCCCGCCCTTCCTGAGAGACGAAACGGAGGTTTCGCTGCAGTCCATGCGCGACACTCGCAACCAGAAACCGGAGCGGCCATGTCCAGCGAAGAAGAGAGGGACCATGGCATGGCATAGCAGGTCACAGAATCCCAATATATATATATATATGTTTCTTACAGTACGGATGGTTGGCTGCTGACACAACAAGGTCGTACAGGATTCAGAAAACGTATAAGCAAAAAGGCACGAAACAACGAAACACGTGCATCCCAATCCGTGCAGATCCCTTCCCCAACCTTTCGCACCCCCGCCGCAGCCTCCATGGGTTTCCCCCACCCGCCCCGACATCCATGGGTTGGTCAAAGGGAAAACCGATAGGAAACCACCGGTTTTTCACCCGCCCTCCTCCGAACATCCCAAGACTACTATGAAACATTATGAAACGGTGGGTTTCCTGCAAATATATCCCCCTCAACATCCCTCAACCAATTCTGAGGATTTCAGCTGAAGCCTCAGCGAGGCCACTTGGTCTTGGCCGTCGTTGGTCTGCACGAAGACCCGCGCTTCGCCGGAGCGGATCACGTAGAACGCGTCCCCGGGGTCCCCTGGAAGCGCGAGCGCGGGTCGAGCATTGAAGTCCCGGTGCTCAACAGTGAGATGTCTGGAGATCGGTGCCCCTTAGATGTGAAGGGGTGTCCATGAACCACCCCGACTGCGGGTCCTAGTACTATAGATAGACAGATAGATGGATATCTGTGCGTGTGCAGAAATATGTGCAGTATAATTTATGTATATAAAAAGGCGACCTGGTGCACCTGATATCCACGGACATGGATTCGCGGATGTTTGTTCCCTTACAATGGTAGATATTTTGGTTCTATCCTAATACCTGTAACAGTGGATGATGATGGTTATGTTGCAGGCCTTGTTTAAAAAAATAGTGATTTGCTGGTTTACTGCCTGTTACAGGTAAGAACGGACAGACCCAATAGATAGTGGATTCGCCGACATAAATCTATGGACACGGACCGGATGGCATCGGTTTCAACAACGATGGCCCTTGGCAACTGGACCACCTTCTGAGCATCGAGTCGGTGACCGTGTGCGATGTGCGGGGCCGTTGGAGTCCTTGAAACATGAGGCGGTCCAGATGGTCGCGCGACACCCCACATGGCATCTATCATGCCATGATCACCTGTTCGAAGTTCTAGATGTTCTAGTATGGAGGCCAGGGGTCAGTTGGTCATGATCAAGTTCACCCTCCAGCTTGCTCCTGCCCAAACCAATTGATACCAAATGCTTCATGATTAAGCCTTTCCCCACCCTGCTGTGCCCCACCCAGCGCCTTGTTGGATGATCACATCCCCATTCTGGAACTCGCACGCTTCGCAGGCTTCCGCCACGATGGGGTGCTCGTCCCGCGGGAGACGCTTCATCAGGGGCACCTGATCCAGGAAGCGCATCCGAGCTTCATACTCCTGCCGCGCGACTCACGCGCGCATCGCAACGCGGAGCCGGCTTGCGAGCTGGCGCCGTGGGTGGCCGTTGTCGTGTGCATGAAGAAAAAGACGGACAAAGGGGAGGTGGTTGGGTGGTTACCTGGTTGCGGCAGCATGTTGCTCAGGTTTGGAGATGAGAGAATCGCAATGAAAAAGGCTGGTTGAAGCAATGACGTGTAGTAGTGGTTCGGTCGGTTATTCACTAACTTGTGAGGCCTGGTGGTTACGATTCCAACGATTTCCTGTAACAGTAGTGAACCGATGCAATCACGTCCATCGTCGGAGTCTGTGCTTGTCACAGGGCACCCCAAGATTCTAGGCTTGGGCGGCCATCAGCTCTAAACACCAGAAAAGGGAGCGCTGCCTCCATGAGATCCATGTCGTTTCAGTGGGGGCTAAGGACATGTTCAAATGATAAACTTCGGAAGAGTGCTGGGAGCTCAAACAATCATGGAAGTGGAATACAGTCTTCCAGGGGGGGGGCCATACTACCACATCACATCCCCATGTTTCTGGGATGAAGGGTCTACTACCGGGTCTACCGGGTCTACACCCGCCCTTCCACTCTTCCGTTCTGCGGCCCGGCAGGCCGCTCCTTGTTCTCTAACTGGGCCGCCTTCTTATCCTCGCTGCGGTCCGCCTTCTTCCTGGTCCGGGTCCAGCGAGCACCGAGCACCGGAACGGCGAAGGGCGGACGGAACGGCCGGTCTAGAGGTCTAGAGCCAGTAGCCTAAGAGAGATGAACCCCCCAAAGGAGATGTTTTAAACACAGAAAACTCATGAACGTTGAGATAAGTGCTGCACCAAAGCAGCCGAAGCGGGCCATAGAAACAAAGACCCTGCCCTCTTGTATTAAGATTACTCATAACATCTCAGAACCATGCAGGGTCACCCATCACTTCACACGCCCAGCGGCTGCTCGCTCTTGTCATCGGCGGGCGGATCCGGCGGCTTTTTGGTCTTCCCCGCGCTCGCGCCACAACCCATGGCCTGGAGAAGTCTCAGAAATTGCAAAAACAACCAGGGGACCAAGCTGATGACCTGGGAAGTCTACCAAACAGCACCTGCTGGAGTCTGGGTCTGTAGGGGGTCCTAGTGGCAAACTCCAGGGAGATGCATGAAAAGGACCCTTCGGAAGACCAGCTTCTGAAACACCCAAGGGCACAGGGGCATCAATTGTCCATATCGCTCACGGCTGTAGAAGTTAGTAAGTGGGAAGGTGCCAACAATGGCCTCTAACTTTCCATTGGGGAGTCACTAAACAAGTCTCGGCTTCTTCCAAGTGTCTTTCCAAATGTTCAAGACCTGACTATCGAACCCGAAAATGGGTCGGAAAAAGGAACCAACGGCTGCCCTCTACATGCCACAAGTCCCTCCCCCAAGACATCGTGGGCCCTTCCAGTTCTGTCAGACTTCGTGGGCCACCCAAGACATCCCAAGACCCCCTGCGTCAAATCCACTCCGACGAACTCTTCACATGGAAGTGGATGGCCCGGGCCCTGTCTTGTCAAGGAAGCCATGGAACGTCATCGGGGTCATGCCATCCACTTCCGCACGTCTTCGTCCGTCTTCGTCCAGGCTTCCCAAACGGGCACCGTCCGAATTGCGGATCCTCACCTCTGACGCCGCTGGGCGCCCAAGTGCACACGGAACGTGGAAAACGGGATGGTCCGCCCGAGCCAGAAATGGCTGGCGGCTGAAGCCACGGGCGCGGAGCGGGGTGATGATGGTCATCAATTCATGAGAAAGCGAAGCTGAAAAGTATTAATTAAATTCATGAGGACGCATGACGATGGGCCAGGATGGAGGTGATGGATCCTCATTCTCCTCATCATCCTTGACTAGCACATTATGTCCCTTGTGGGGTGGATCCACAAGGATTGACAAGCCCACTGAGATCCATCACCGCTTCGTTCGATCCTGCCCCAGTTGATCTGGAGAGATAGATCGGGTTAGTCTGAGATCCTCATGGTTACCAACCTCGAGAGCCATAGTGGAACAGCCCGGAACATCGGGAAAAAGAGCTCGCGAAGTGGGAAATCTGGATCTGTTTAGATGTCAGGCCAGGTGGACGAATCAGATACACTTGCTGGGCCATTCTTGATCCCGGATTCCGGTGGATATTCGATGATACTTGTGCTTCTCGGACGTCGCACGAAGTTAGATCAAGCCAAGGGTCTTGTTCCTATGTGAGGCGTACCCGGATCATGAACAAACCAACCAAAGTTGCCACAAGGCGGAGTGGTGGAAAAAAGTGGTCGGCATTGAAATCTATGACTGATCTGATCTGATCTGATATATTCACACGATTTAGCCAGCGAAGCAACCTCCTGGTGCCTCGGCGTTTTCAAGTGTTGGGCCGGCCTCACACTGAGTTCGGGCCCCACCCTGCCCCATGTCTGCCTGCCTGCAGGTTCCAGTCGGGCGCCCCCGCACCATCGATCGCCGCTTGACCGGTCGAGGCATGAACGCTGGAGCCCCGAAGAACCCCGGAGAGACTGGGTCGAGAAGTGTGAGCGCATGTGCTTGCACACTCGCTTGCTTTTGGCGGTACCCTGGTGCTCCAAGCCAGCACTTGGGCTTGACAGAACATGGGCTGGCGTCCCAGTCTGCACTACAAACCAAGCACTTGAGTTTCAACAAAATAGAGGTAGGGCAGGCGGGCGGGCGCTTTCAAGAGCTGCCACACCCAACCTCCAAACTAAAAAACTGGACACAACACATGGAGGTCTTCACAGCAAACAACATCAGTAAGGACGCCAAGCGAGCCGGGGGAGGCCCTCGCTATATTAGCTTGGAGGCCATTCCTACTGGCAAATAGCTACTCTAGTCACTTTTGTTACTTATAGGTGATACGAAGTCACCGGCTCTACCGGATGGACCCGTTTTCGGGACGGACTGGGCTTGTTTTCTTCGCAAGCCCAGTCCGAAAAGTCCAGAACCAGCCAGGAAACAAAGAAAGATTTGAGCAAATGACATGAAACGCGAAAAAGAACATACATATCTTTATAGTTATTCCCGAAAGCACCTGCGAAGGGTTTTTCCTTAAGCACTGCTGCCTATTTCATCTTCCTTAATCTCTTTCTCTTACTTCATCTTCCCCACTCTCTCTTCCTTACTCTCTTTCTCTTACTTCATCTTCCCCACTCTCTCTTCCTGACTCTCTTTATCCTACTTCACCTTCCTTACTTCATATTCTTTACTAACTTTCTCCTACTTCACCCTCACAACATCATCATCTAATCATCACCTCATAGGTTATTAATCTCATATCATATCATATTATATCATATCAGGTTATAATATCATATCACATCACATCAATGTCATAACATATCATATCATATCATGTTTTAATATCATATCACATCACATCAATGTCAGATCATATCATCTCATATCATGTGATAAAATAATATCACATCACAACATAACATATGAAGTAGAAGTATCAGATCAACAATATCAAAGTACATCAGAAGTAGATATTGATAGGTAGGTATTGATAAGTGGGTATAGACAGGTAGGTGTAGGTAGGTAGGTGTAGATAGGTAGGTGAAGATAGGTAGGTGAAGATAGGTAGGTGTAGACATCTTCCTTAAAACACCTACCCAACTTCACCTACCCAACTTCTTCTTTATTCTTCTCTTTAGGCGGCGGGGCGGTGCGAGCAGGTCTTACGAAACGCAACCCTCTCGTGGAATCGTGGCCATCGATCGCGCGCGCGCGTGTGGTGAGACGCGAATCGCGTTTGTCCGTGAGCAACCCTCTGCGGAGATCGTGCGCGTCGATCGCGCGAACGTGTGGTGAAACGTACATTTTGTCTGAGCGCGGCTGGGCGCACCATTAGAATTCTGGTCACAAGGATGTCGCCAATGTGCGGTCCGGACCGCATACTCATTGGGAAATGCGATTCCAAGGTCTGTGCCCGGTCTGTGCCCGGATCGTTCCCCCATTGTAATTCTGGTCGCAACGATGTCGCGAATGTGCGCTGCGGACTTCATACTCGTTGGGAAATGCGATTCCATGGTCTGTGCCCGGAGCGTTCCCCCATTGTAATTCTGGCTCGAAGGTGTTCCTGTGTCATCGCTCGGAGCGTAGTTACATTGTGTTTTGCAAGCTTTGGTTGCTAATCGCCTTATAGTTCTGGCTCGAAGGTGTGATCCTCCATGTGCAGATTTCGTGGCAGGTGCAGCACTTTGTGAACCTCCATGTGCAGATTTCGTGGCAGGCACAGCACTTTGTGAACCTCCATGTGCAGATTTCGTGGCAGGCACAGCATCCGGGGAGCTGGAAGCTGAGAACTGGCGACTTTGTAGTACAACTTTAGTACGCGGAGTATGTGGCGAGCTGGAAGCTGAGAACTGGCGACTTTGTAGTACAACTTTAGTACGCGGAGTATCTGTGGAGCTGGAAGCTGAGAAGTGGCGACTTTGTAGTACAACTTTAGTACGCGGAGTATCTGGCGAGCTGGACGATGAGAACTGGCGACTTTGTAGTACAACTTTTAGTACGCGGAGTATCTGTGGAGCTGGAAGCTGAGAACTGGCGACTTTGTAGTACAACTTTAGTACGCGGAGCAATTTGTGAGCTGCAAGCTGAGAACTGGCGACATTGTAGTACAACTTTAGTACGCGGAGCAATTTGTGAGCTGGAAGCTGAGAACTGGCGACTTTCTAGTACAACTTTAGTACGCGGAGCAATCCGTAGAGCTGGAAGCTGAGAACTGGCGACTTTGTAGTACAACTTTAGTACGCGGAGTATCTGGCGAGCTGGACGATGAGAACTGGTGACTTTGTAGTACAACTTTAGTACGCGGAGTATCTGTGGAGCTGGAAGCTGAGAACTGGCGACTTTCTAGTACAACTTTAGTACGCGGAGCAATCTGTAGAGCTGGAAGCTGAGAACTGGCGACTTTCTAGTACAACTTTAGTACGTGGAGCAATCTGTAGAGCTGGAAGCAGAGAACTGGCGACTTTGTAGTACAACTTTAGTACGCGGAGTATCTGGCGAGCTGGACGATGAGAACTGGCGACTTTGTAGTATAACTTTAGTACGCGGAGTATCTGGCGAGCTGGACGATGAGAACTGGCGACTTTGTAGTACAACTTTAGGACGCGGAGTATCTGTGGAGCTGGAAGCTGAGAACTGGCGACTTTCTAGTACAACTTTAGTACGCGGAGCAATCTGTAGAGCTGGAAGCTGAGAACTGGCGACTTTGTAGTACAACTTTAGTACGCGGAGCAATCTGTAGAGCTGGAAGCTGAGAACTGGCGACATTGTAGTACAACTTTAGTACGCGGAGTCTCTGGCAAGCTGGACGATGAGAACTGGCGACTTTGTAGTACAACTTCAGTACGCGGAGCAATCTGTGCAGCTAGAAGCTGAGAACTGGCGACTTCGTAGTACAACTTTAGTGCACGGAGTATCTGGCGAGCTGGACGAGGAGAACTGGCGACTTTGTAGTACAACTTTACTACGCGGAGTATCTGTGGAGCTGGATGGTGAGAACTGGCGACTTTCT